TAATAATTATTATTATTATTATTAATTTCAGAGATGAAGGGAGAGGGAAAGAGATAGAAACATCAATGATGAGAATCATTGATCGGCTGCCTCCTGCACGCCCCCTACTGGGGATCGAGCCCAAAACCCAGACATGTGCCCTGACCGGGAATGGAACCGTGACCTCCTGGTTCATAGTTCAATGCTCAACTACTGAGCCACACCAGCTGGGCATTCAGTCCCTGCTCTTGTTTAATGTATTTATTTCCCACTTCTATTCCCTCATTCATCACTCCCCTCTCCCCCTCCTCCATAGGTAATTGTTCTTATATGTTGGGCGTGTATTAATTTATTTGTATGTGTTCTTACAGATTGTGTAAACTGGTATTATCAATCTACATAGCATGTAGATCCCTTTTTCACTCAGCTAGGTTTTTACAATTTATCCTGTTGTGCATGATTATTCTAGTCTTACCTCTTCGCTGGGTGCTTACTCTGGGCCAGGTTTAGTGTCAGCGCTTCAGGTGCATATCTCATCTGATCTCACCAACAGCCCAGGAGCGGGGGACTGTCATTGAGGCAGTAATCTCAAACTGAGTGAAACAAGGCAGAATTAGGATAGGGCTTCAACAGACTGATGTACAGCAGTGCCAACAGCCAGGTAGTATCTGCTCAGCACACTCATCTCTTTAAATACTGCTGATTTCAGCCCTGGCTGGATTGACTCAGTGGTTAGAGCATCCGCCTGCGAACTGAAGGGTCGTGGGTTCAATTCCCCATAGAGGGCACATACCCATCTCAGTTGCAGGCTCGCTCCTGGGGCATGTATGGAAGGCAACCAATCAATGTGTCTCTCTCACATCGATGTTTCTCTCTCTTTCCCTCTCCCTGTTCCACTCTATCTAAAAGCAATGGAGAAAGACCCTCAAATGAGGATAAAAGAAAAAAAAAAGAATAAAAAATAAATAAATACTGCTGATTTCAGCTCTATAGACTTTCTTTCCTCCCTCTGCCAGGAATGTTCCTTTGGGTCAAACAGCAAGTGAGTCTTTGGAATCACCTGGTACCCAAAGACAAAGGAGCTCCAGCAAGGCGTTGGGCGACCATGAACAATTTTTGGAAGCCAAGGTGCCTGTTGAACATTGTAGGCTCAGCCCCGGTCCAAGCTCCGTGGTTCCAACAGGAAATTAGAGAAACTCTGCAGAGTTTCTGAGACACCATAGTCGAACACGTCTCTGAAGAATTTCAGCAGAGCACGATTCACACATTTTGTATTCTAACCCAATGGGTAAAGGGACAGAGGCCAGTCATGTCAGTTACCACCTTTTCTCAGGTGGGCTGGAGAGATGTGGGCCTGGGGACTGAGCACTGCCTCAGCTTACCTGCCCAAGAGGGTGGGAGGGCTGACTGTGGATCCAGAAGCTCCAAAAATGGATAGCCTCTTCCTGCAGAATCTGAACCCCTGCCTGGATACAGCTAAAGCTGTGGCCTTTATGTTTTCACTAGATGCCCTGTGCACAAAATTCATGCAAGAGTAGGCCTTCTCAGCCCGGCTTCGTAAGGTTGTCCAGAAGGTCATCTAGAAGGATGTGTGGATGGTCGTTCTGCTGTTTGGCCGTTCAGTTGATTTGCATATTACACTTTTATTATTATAGCTTGCTACAGGAATCTGGTAGAATAAATCTGCTCTTTTCTTTTAAAAAAATTTTGTCAACTATTGCACTTTTGCCACTATATCCAGTGTTACTCCCAAGTCATACTCCATAAAAATACTCCCAAGCCCAATGTAGGGACATTTTTAGCCATGTGTGCAAGAAGACAGCTTCCTGCAATGCTGAGATTCTTCAGAGATGTGTTTGATTACGGTTTTGCAGATCTTATCTTTTGATTCTCAAAACTTTCATTTCTGTCTTACTATTCATTTTGGAAGTCGCGTGTTTAAATAAGATTTTCAACAATTGAAATTCTTTGGAATAGTCTCTGGCTCCTTTCCTATTCTTGCAGAAAATATATTCAGTGTAGCTAATACCATGTTTCTTTCAAATTATTCATTTCTCTGACCCAGGATTGAAAGCATATTTGTATTGACTAGTTTTCATGTCTTGTCATCAGGCTACTGGTCTCTCATTGCCTTGTGGATCTAGTTGGCTTTTCTTATAAAGAGCTTCTAACGGATTTTTTTTTCCCTGATATGTTTTATCTTCTGACTGCATGCCAGTAACAAACTGTTAATGTTGGGGTCCTTTATACTATTTTACAGAACACAGTGAACACTTCTGTTCTGTGAAAGTGATGCCCAAGTATAGGGCATTAATGTAATGTGTACCCAACATGGACATAGGACAAATCAGAACACAAGAGACCCCTCTCAGCCTGAGCAATGGACGATGGGGTGACTAGACCTCGGCTCCGAAAGTTCTTGAGCTGAAACAGACATAGGCTGTGCCCATCGAGCACAGAGGAGGGATGGAAGAGACAGGCCTGTTGGAGCTTGGGCCACACTGGGGTGGAGGAAACCAGGCTGCGGGAACTCAGAGCTGCCCTGTTCAGCCCAGCGCTCAGAGAGGGCTTCCTGTAAGAAGTAGCGTCTGAGCTGCCAGCTCACGGGGAAGCTCTAGGCCAGCTCTTCTGGCTCCATAGGGCTGCTTTTCCCACACCCACTTCTTGATGTTGGAGCTTGACCCCCTTCAGGGGGTCACACAGACACAGAGACATGGAACCAGGCTTCGAGGAAGGGCTGTCAGCATCTCCTACTCAGACGCTGGTTCACTGGGGGATTTGTGAAGCACGCAGTCCTTCCTGACAGTTTCATGAGAAGGCCTCTGACCCCAGGGGCCCAGGGGCGTTTCCATCTTTGCCAAGTCTCCTTTTCTCTTTCTTAGAATCAGAGTTTGGAGCGCAGCGCGCAGGAAAGTCATCGTCTCCTTGCAAGGTGAGACGTGGGACTGGAGAGAGAGCAGATGGAAGGTTCATTCTCCTGCAGTGGGTAGACTCTCTGACAGCCTGGGAGGATTTGACACCCCTCCTGGCAGCCAGTCCAACAGCGAAGGAGTAAGTACTTTCTTTCCTCCCTCCCTCCCTCCCTCCCTCCTGGGCTCTGTATCTTCAGAGCCTATTCTGATCATGCTGTGATATCTGCCTGTTCCTCTTCTCTGTTGGAAATGGGAAAACATGGAAACCACTTATCTTTCGCTGAATGAAGTAAAAGAGCTAAAAATGGAGAGTAAAAATGAAAGTATACATTAGGTAGCTAGCATACAAACAACCATGAAAAGGTACCCAACTCTTAATTAAAAACGGACAGGGAGGGAAGCAAAACAATAACCTAAATGACCTATTTTTAGAAAAACAACATCAGAGAAAAATAGATATTGTTTACACTCATGTGTGTTTCTAGGGAATAAAATTTACAGGGACATCTTGTCCGATCCTTTCTGCGTAAACAGCTGGGAGCAGAATTTAAGAGGAGCTTCAAAGAAATGTAGAACCATGGCAGGTTCTGAGCCTCCCTGGGATGGTCGCCCATTTCCTCCAAATGATGTTTGGCCCATCTAAGTGTAAGGCTCAGCTTTAATGTATTTAAGCTACAATGACGACAGAATGAGAGAAAGAGCAGGCAAGCAGCTCTTTGGCAGAACACTCAGATGTCTCCAGCTCACTCTGCAAAATCACCTCTGTCTTAGATGAAAAAGCCAAAAAGCCACTCTGTTAGAGGAGTGTGGGGCTGTAAGAGGTTCAAAATGTGCTCTTGATCCATTCCCATCATTCTCAACCCTTCCCACTGCTGCACAACAAAGGATCCCAATCCCAGGAAATGTTAAATCAAATTTCTGTAACGGAAAAGACAAGATGAAAATGTATTATGAAGGGACAGTAATTAAATCTGAACTAGCTACAGGAATAAACCAGCAGACCAATGAGGTAGACGTCAAGTCCAGGAAGAGACTAAAATGCGTCAAGTAATTTAATATAAAATAAAGGTAGCAGAGTAAACCCATGGGGGAAATTGATCATGCAATAATTGATATCGAGATAATGGGCTAGTCATTGGGAAAGAAATAAGCTTATTTCCGACCTCATTTCTTAAACTATCCACATTGGAAATGAATAAAAGAGTTCTGTGCATACTGAATACATTGAAAAACATTTTTTTTTTTTTTTAGAATATCTGCTGGAACCAAGCATGCCACTAATCAAATAAAGATGCAGAACCGTAAAACAGGCTCCATTTTTCAAAGCATTTTTATATTAAAATTTTAAATTGTAACAAATTCTGCAATGACTCATTGAAGGAGCATTAATATGGAACTTGGCTTGTCAACTGATGAACTCAATCTTCCCATTCAATGTAGGAGCTTCTTTTATTTAACACATTAGGGGACCAGTGCTTTGGGCTCTATTGAAGCGAAAGCACACCCACCTGAAGGACCCAGACATTGGTACTTCTTTGCATTGGGGAAGGGGAGGAGGAGAGTTAAAGTTAAGTTAATGCTGACATTTATTAACAACAAGCGACATTTGTAGAGTATAGCTGCCTCAAGGCTTTTGTGATTAATTTTTTTTATTGAACCAACAGATGCAGTTTATGTTGGGAATTTTTAGCGTATCAAATTGATCTTGATAATACATTTTGTCACGTTAACTACGTTCTTCAACAGGCTGATTTTAGAGGCTTTAAAAAATACCTATACACAAACACACATTTTAAAGTCATGAAAATTTCATCCTAAATGCAGGGTGCAGAATTATATCCCAACACCATCCATGCATATGACATTTGTATTTTTGTGTTTCCAAAATTACTAATAAGAACTTGGTAATGATTTCTTGGATCGTTTCAAAAGCACATGCAGCAAAAGAAAAAAATTAGGCTTCATAAAAATGGAAACTTTTTGTACATCAAAAGATATGATCAGCAGAATAAAAAGTCAAACCACATGCTGGGAGAACTCTTAAAACTCAACAGCAAAAAAAAAAAAAAATCAAATAATTCAATTCAAAAATAGGCAAAGGACTCGAACAGACATTTTCCAAAGAAGATACACAAATGGCCAATAAGCACATGAAAAGATGCTCAACGTCACTAATCAATAGGGAAATGCAAATCAAAACTACAGTGAGATAGCATCTCATACCCATTAGGATTGCCATTAATTAAAACAACAACAACAAAAAAAAACCAACAGAAAATAGTAAGTGTTGGTGAAAATGTGGAGAATTTGGATCCCTTATAGGCTGTTGTGGGAGTATAAAATGGTATGCAGTTCTTCAAAAAATTTTAAAAAACTACCATATGATCCAGTTATTCCACTTCTGGATACATACTCAAAAGAATTGAAAACAGAGTCTTGAAGAGATATCTGCATACCGTATTCATAGTAGCATTATTCACAGTAACTAAAATATGGAAACAATCCAAGTGTACTAGTATATCGGCAGATGAATGGAGATGTAACATGTGGTTGCACGTAAAATAGAATATTATTTAGGCTTAAAAAGGAAGGAAATTCTGATATTTGCCTACATGAATGAACCTTGAGGACATTACGGTAAGTGAAATAAGCCAGTCACAAAAGACAAATACTGTATAATCCCACTTATTTGAGAAACGTAGAGAAGTAAAAAATCACATAGAGACAGAAAGTAGAATGGTGATTGCCAGGGGCTAGGGGAAGGGAGAATAATGAGTTGTTTAGTGGGTACCAGAGTTTCAGTTTTACAAGATGAAAGAATTCTGGAGATGGATGGTAGCAATGACTGCCAACAACATGAAGGTACTTAATATCCCTGAACTGTACAATGAAGAAAGGTGAAAACAGTAAATGTTATGTGATGTGTATTTTACCACAATAAAGAACTGGAAAAAATCCCTAATAAGAAAACTATCAATAGTTCCATAATCAATTGCCAATTACCTGAGGGGAGGTAACATGGTTCAAGACTCAGAATGGCAAAATGAAATATATCCAATAGGATAGCGTAGAGACTGTTTCCACAGGTAAAGCACATTTCACGGGATTTCTTAAGCTGTGGCCTGGTGTGCAATAATTGGCCGATTAAAAGTCTCATCTTCATATTTTAGCCATTGTTTTCACTTACTATATCTCCTATGGCTTTAATCACTCAGAAAATTTAACGTGACTATAATTTCTTTTTTTCCCATCAGTTTCTCCTCCATCAATTCTTCACCTTTGCCTATCTGCCTATCTGCCTATCAACATGCTTGAGATTCTCCCAGGCCTTCAATAACTGGTTTGGCTCAGTGGCTAGAGCATCGGCCTGTGGACTCAAGGGTCCCGGGTTCAATTCCAGTCAAGGGCATGTACCTTGGTTGCGGGCGCATCCCCAGTGGGAGGTGTGCAGGAGGCAGCTGATCAATGTTTCTCTCTCATCGATGTTTCTGACTCTATCCCTCTCCCTTCCTCTCTGTTTTTTAAAAGAGGTTCCTGTAACCAGTTACTGTCTCAGTCCCTTGTTCCATTTACTGCTGGAATTCTGGAAAGCCCAGCCTCGCTAATTATTTCCATTTCAGCCCCAGGCTTTCATTCTCGAATCCAGGAAAAGCAGGCCTCCTTCCCCACCGCTGGAGATATCTTTCTGAGGGTGACAAATCCCAAGTACAGTGGCCTTTTCTTGGTTCTCTTCCTTCTTATGCTCTTGGGGTATTTGACAGTGTTGCTCTTTCCCTCCTTTAAAGTGTTTCTCACGTGGTTTTTTTATGACACGAAATGATGGTGGTTTCTTTCCCCTCCCTGACCAGGCCATTGTCTTTTTAGTTTTCTTTCCTCCCCTCCTCCTGTCAGTGTCATTACTTTCCAGACTTGTCCTCACCTCTTTGACTTCTCCAAGACATCTTGTCTGCACATATATTTTTATGACATTATTACATCTGTGTCAGTAAATCTGGTCTTTCTCTTCAGCCCCAGCCTCCCATTTCCAAATGTCTCTAGACATTTCCAACTGAGCGTCTCCTACTGCATTTAACCTGCTGAGGATCTAACATATAGTCTTCCCACCAGTTCTGCTTGTGCTCTCCTATTTCCTAATAGTGCTACCACTTCTCCCGGGAGCCCAGACTTGAAACCTTGATTTTTTTTCCCACCACAACCTCTCTCTTCTCTCCCATAATCAATCAGCAAATGCTATCAATTATTCTTTGACAATATATTTCTCTATTTCCTTCCCTGCTGCTACTATACATTCACTCATTCATTCAGTAAATATTTATTGAGTGCTTACTATTTGCCAAACATTCTGCCAGCATATTTTTGTTTTGTTTTGTTTCCTGTCTCAAGTTTGTCTCCCTGGCAATAAATTCAATTGTGTTGCCAGATGTATATTCAGAATAGTCTATTCTACTTTTTATTGATTGATTTTAGAGACAAAGAAGGGAGAGGAGAGGAGAGAGAGAGAGAGAGAGAGAGAGAGAGAGAGAGATTTGGTGGGTGATTCTTGTATGTGCCCTGACCAGGGATGAAATTCGAAACCTTGGCATATTGGAATGAAGCTCAACTGAGCTCCCCAGCCAGGGCCAGAATATTCTGCTCTAATTTTCACCTCCATGCTTAGAAACATTTAATGGCTGTCCTACACCTATTGTAAAATAGAGCACTCTGCAGAGCCCCAAGCGTTCCATGGATCTCCTTAAAGGCACCCAAATACGTGAGTGTAATGGGAGAAAGCTCTTCAGCCATACAGCTCTCCTCCCATTTCACAATAATTTTTTTTAAAGTATTGGAAACTACTGTTTAAGCCTTTGCCTGAGACCTAATGTCCTCTTTAACCAAACCCTAAATGACTTCCCAGCCTAATGTGCTCCTAACCAGCTACAGACAACCCACTTTTAGACCAAATCAGACTGCTGTTGTCACCCCTTTAAATCAAGTATGCCCCCTCCCAAGCCTTGGCTCGCACCACTTCCTCTGCCTGCACCATCCTGCACGCACCTGCCCGTGCCGAATTCTGTATCTAACTTTCAAAAGGCCACTCATTTCTAAGAAGAGCTTTCTTGCTAAAATACTTGCTTGATTTCGTTAATTGTATTCATACCTTATGTGCCCCCCAAGAGTTTTAGATGTTTTGAAGGCAAAAGTGATGTTCTATCTTCCACAGTAGCTAATGTAGTACTTTGTCTATAGAAAGCATTGGATCGGATCGACACTTGTTGGATGGATGAACAAATCTGTTTTCCTATGGTCTTGCCCCGCAGGGATCTCCATGACGTCCTGGCATACAGAAAAAAAAATTGTACAACCTTTCCTGTGTGTTTATGTAAAAGAGATCAAGAGAAAAGAAAAAGAGGAACCCGAAAAGGAGGTGCAAATGAGAATGATATGTACAAAAAGCATAGTTTCTTACTCAGTACTGCCCAAGAAAACAGGAGAGGTGAGGAATAACCTGTCTTTACTTCCTCTTTAGTTAACATTTTAGCACCTGTATTTTGCATTCACCTGGGAGACATTAACTCATTAAGGCTCTCCGTACCCCTGGAGGTAAGCGCCGCTGTGCTCATTAAATAGAGGGGACAACACGGATGATCAGTGACTTAAACAAGGACACCTGGCAAAGAAATAGAGCATAAATCACCAGGTGCTTATTACAGGATTCTGATTCCCAGCTGTGACTCTTCACCTTCTGACGCTCTCCCCAAAGTTATCATCTTTTTCTTCTGCATGGGAAAATCATATTTGTTTCCCGCCATCCTTAGGATTATAAGTGCCCATTTAAACCCCCCTTTATACATTCAATAACATCAGCAGTCAGTGTTCTTTGAGCACTGAATGAGTGTGTATTATTATGTACACACTCAGCTCCCGCTTTAACACAGACAATCCACACGGCCATATTCTCAGCAGCTTCCACCCAGAACCCAGCCAAAGCAGGTGGCATGAATAGCTAAGCACCACTGGGCCAATCTTGAGTATTCAAGAGATGCAAATGATTCCTTTCATTATTTTTGCTGGTTTGTCTATTTTATGCTCGTGGAGGAGTGGCTATTGCACCCATGTTGTACCCATGTAATGTTGGGCTCTGAGCATCACTTGGCTTTTTCCAGGCAGCATTTAGAGCTGATAACAAGCTGTTGCAGAGAAAATGAAGGTTTTGCTGAAATCGGTTCTGCATGGAAACAGCTGACCAGTTTCCATTGCTGCAATGTGGCTCTTTTGCTCTTGGTTGATTTTGAGTAATAGCTTCACTTCTGTAGAAAGGAGATTTTATTTGAACTCCATT